TGGATCAAAGTCTGGGAGCAAATTGACCAATCAGAAATCGATTATTCAAGAAATGAACTGAAAGGTCAAGAAAATTCTGTCAAATTTAAACGTTACATGACGCGGATTGTAGGAGTATAAGTTCTGCAGTTGCACTGAAACTAAACATCTGGAAAAAAACAACTTTACTCTATTTGGAGACAAACGAATGCCCGACTGACCACATCGGCATTAAGGAACGAGCGAGACAGTTTGCAGCTGCTGATGCTGTTCTTCTTTTTTCGTCTTCATCTTCTTTTTTTTGTTTTGTTTTTTTTTAACATGACTTTGACCCGTAAGAATATAATTGCACATATAAAAATACCTGCAATGGACATTTTTTGTTCTTTTTTTTTTTCTTGTTGTTGTTTTTCATCATAGTATTTTCATGCAGAACAGAACCGAAAGAATGCAGCAGAATCAACCCACTGAAAAAAAAAAACAACAAAAACAAATGAAAAACAAACAAACGAAAACAAAACATCGGTGAAGAATCTGAACGCGGTAGGATTGACCAGGCTTTACGCTGTCGAAGTGGTGATGCAGAAGAAGTGAGAGAGAGAGAGAGAGAGAGAGAGAGAATGCCCCGAATAGTCACAGTGCACGGAGGAACACCAGGGCGGCGCTAGAGAGCGGAGAGTCGTCTGTAGTAGTTTAGTGCTTTGTCAGGTTTTCTTTTCTGTTTTTGTCGTTTGTCGTTGTTTAAAACGTGAAAACGCTTCTTCACTCGTCTGAAGAGAAAAGGGAAAAAACACAGAGTCTTTTTTTTTTCGTTATCTAAAATCCCACTGGAGGAAAAAGTGGTGAGGAGAAGGGGGTGAAGTCGGGTCGTGGTTTGGTTTCCAAAGGGATGCACAGGTGCGTATATAACCGTAACGAGTGTGTGTGTGTGAGTGTGTGTGTGTGTGTGTGTGTGTGTGTGTGTGTGTGTGTGTGTGTGTGTGTGTGTGTGTGTGTGTGTGTGTGAGTGTGTGTGTGTGTGTGCGGTAAACGTCTCTGAGTGTAGGGCCGGCCCAAATAATCGGAATACGCCAGGATTTGTTCGTTATGTTGGGACTCGTTTCCAAATTTCGTATTCGGAAGCTTTGTCTTCTGTTTTAGTTCCAAATATCTAGAACACTAGTGTGGGTTCCTGAATTGAGCTGCACCGGTTTTGCTTAGCTTTGTGTGTAAAGTCTTTACAAGGTTCTTCAAAGGTTCTTTAGTAAAGACAATGGCTCTATAGAACCGTAAACACTCAACGAACCATTTTCATGATTAAATGGTTCTTTGCATGGTGAAATCATATTTCAGATGGATGGAGAATGTGTTGCGTATGGTTCTATACAGAACCGTTTTCAAAATGGTTCTATATAGCACAATAAACGGTTAGAAGAACCCTTTTTGGTGCTATATAGAACCATATACAACACACTGTCCATCAATCAACGGAACTACTGACTTAAAAAAAGATGTTTTTTCAAGGGTTCTTTACTAAAGAAAATGGCTCTGTACAGAACCAAGAACCCTTTTTGGAACCATTTTCAAAAAGATGGTTATTCAAAGGTTCTTTAGTAAAGACAATGGTTTATATAGAACCAGGAACACTCAAACCATTTGCATAACTAAATGGTTCTTTAGTAAAGAAAATGGTTCTATACAGCACCAAAAAACGTTAGAAGAAGATATATATATCCATACACAACACATTCTCCATCAATCTGAGGAACCACACACTTAAAACAGATGGTTCATCAAATGTTCTTTACTAAAGAAAATGGTTCTATACAGAACCAAGAACCTTTTTGGTCATATAGAGAACCATTTTCAAAAAGGTTCTATCATTACACACTTAAAAAGATGGTTCTTCAAGGATTCTTTAGTAAAGACAATGGTTTAGATAGAACCATGGACACAAACCATTTGCATGACTAAATGGTTCTTTGCATGGTGAAATCGTTCTTCAGATGCATGGAAAATGTGTTGTATATGGTTCTGTACAGAACCATAAAATTGGTAACATCAATCTGAAGAACTACACACTTAAAAAAGATGGTTCTTCAGGGGTTCTTTAGTAAAGAAAATGGTTTTATATAGAACCATGAACCCTTTTTGGTCCTACATAGAACCATTTTCAGAAAGGTTCTACAGAGGTTCTATAGAACCATTTTCAATAAGGTTCTATCACTACACACTTAAAAAAGATGGTTCTTCAGGGGTTCTTTAGTAAAGAAAATGGTTCTATAAAGAAGTATGAATCTTTTTTGGTGCTATAAAAAACCATTTTGAATCTGAAGAACCATTTATTGATGTGAAGAACCCTTTAGTCATGCAAAGGCTTCTTTGAGTGTTCATGGTTCTATATCAAACCACTTGAGGAACCATCATTAAGAGTGTATTTCACCATGCAAAGCATGTAATGATGGAGAATGTTTTGCACATGGGTCTTTATAGCACCAAAAAGGGTTCTTCTATTGTTACAAGCTTGACGTTGTAGCAATAGAACCCTTTTTGGTGCTATATAGAAGAACCCTTTTCCAAAAAAAAAAAAAATTAGATCTCTACAGAGCTAAAATCATCTACAGCGCATTCTCCATCAATCTGAAGAACTATTTCACCATGCAAAGAGCAATTTAATCATGCAAATGTTCACGGTTCTATATAGAACCACTGTCTTTACTAGAGAACTCTTGAAGAACCATCTTTAAGAGAGTAGTTAGTTTCAGACTGATGTTTTACTAAATTGGTTTGCAACAAAAATTCTTGAGTCGTGTCTTAATGAGTAACAAATAACTAATACATACGTTGTTTTGATGTGTTGGGAACCGATCTGTCAACATGCTAGAACAGAGATGTGACGGCTTTATCCATGGAAAAAATATCCAGTACAGAAGAGAACTATGTGCACGAGTAGAACTAAATAAACTGAATACTTGTCTGATTATTATTTAATATTTCACTGAGACAAACAAATAAGCAGCTTTTTAAATGCTGGTTTCTGGCTGACCAACATAACAGCAGCTGCAGTTCAGGATCTTCAGGGGTTCTTTGGTAAAGAAAATGGTTCTATATAGAACAATGTGCACTCAAAGAAACCTTGTATGATTAAAGGGTTCTTTGCATCGTAAAAGGTTCTTCAACTAGATGGAGAATGTGCATGAGTGTGTTGTAGATGGTTCTGCATAGAATGTTTTTGAAAAAGGTTCTATTTAGCACCCAAAAGGGTTCTTCGATTGTTACAAACATGACATTGTAACTATAGAAGAACCCCTTTTGGGTGCTATGTAGAACCATTTTCATTCTCCATCAATCTGAAAAAACCCTTTCATGATGCAAAGAACCCTTTAATCATGCAAAGGTTTCTTTGCGTGTTTATGGTTCTATATAGAACCGTTTTCTAAAGAACCCTTGAAGAATAATTTTTTTAAGAGTGTAACTAAACAAAAAACGTCTTGCTTTTGTTCTTTCTATGTAGTTTCCTTTGTTTCATTCCCAACACTAAAGTTCGAGGCTTATTTATTACTGTGTTTTACATGCACTTAATCATCTGATCATAATCAGATTTCTGCTGTTATCTGATTATTTAAGTAGTCATGTAAATAGCACACTCTGGTTTCTTAGACTGTAGTAAGATCTACAAATCCAATTAAGAAATCTGATAGAGGCTGGATTTTAGCTCAGTAATCAGATTTCTCAGTGCATGTGAACTCTTACTCTGATTTCTTTCGTTTCTCTCAGTCTGAGCATGTGCGAAAACAGACGGCGGTACAGCAAATAAGTGAGCTGATTCCAAATACATGCTTAACGAAATGAAGGAATTAAATATTCTTCATCTTCTAGATGATGATTGTTCATATTTTCAGGTAAAAGCGACTCGATGTTTTAAAAAGCTGCAGCATGAAGTTTGAGTCTTATTCTGTGAGTTTATTGGCTGGTTAAAAAAAATATTCTATTTAGCATCATGAGTTCTATATAGAACCCACTGTACGATGAAATGGCTCTTCAGATTCGTGAAAATGTGTTGTAAATAGTTCTATATAGAACCTTTTTTTGAGAATGGCTCCATATAGCATGAAGAAGAGTTCTTCTATAGTTACAAGCTTGACATCGTAACACCTGCAGAAAATGTTTTGGAAGTATATAGAACCCTTGGTAGCATATGGAACCCTATAGAACACATTCTCCATCAATCTCAATAACTATTATACCATGAAAAGAATCTGTTAATCATGCAAGGGGTTCTTTGAGTGATCATAGTTCAATATAGAACCATTTTCTTTACTAAAGAACCTTTTTTAAGAGTAAAATCATTCTCAAAAAACTTTGAGCATAAAACTGAGTTATTTCAGTGTTTTTTATTCTAAATTTAAACACATGATTCTAAATAGAACCATCTTTTTCAGGCGTGTATGTCAGCAATGGAATATGAACTTTCCATTCAGCTGAACTGACCAGCATCTGGGTAAGAAGTCCAGTCAGACTCATTTGCCTCCTTACTGGACTTTACATCAGATGGAGCTCATCTGTTTTTCTGCGTTTTTGGGACGTCCATCGTAAAAAGGGAAGAATAAATATGTAAAACTGTTTGTTACAAATGCAAAAACGGGGATGTTTTGATTAGAAAATGCGAAAATAGTTTCTAAATAAAGGTTAATTATGAAATATTATGAAACATTATTGTTTTTAAGAGTTGTATTGATGAATATTTAAAACGTCTAAATGTTGCTCAGACCAGCCCAACTGTGTGTGTGTGTGTGTGTGTGTGTGTGTGTGTGTGTGATGTGCCTCAAATACTGTGTGTCCGTACGTGTCTCCATAGTGAACTGTGTAATGTATATTGTTCAGTGCAGCCAACCCAGGAGGGGGCGCCAAAAGCTCAGGACAGAACCAGCCCGTATCTCCTCTCCCGCAGTGAGTCTCTCTCCTCCGGACACCATCAGCTTTTCTCCGCCGCATGTAGGACAGTGCTTCTGCTTCTTCTGCTTCTTCTTCTTTTGTTTTTCATGTGTGTGTTTGTTTGTTTGTTTGCTTGTTTGTTTTTGTTCCAGAAAAATACAGCAGTCCGTCTTTCCTCTCTGGGCTCAGCGCTGCTGTTAGCGTTATTTCTTAAAGGGGGCTAACCGGCTGATGTTCTGCCAGAAGGGAGATGTGCTGCGTTTGGGTCCGTACTCGTATCCGTCCGCCTGGCCGTAACCGTCCGGCAGGAGGAACTGACCCGGGTTCATGGGGTCCAGAGGAGGGGGGTAGGCAGGGGGGGCTGACCGGCCAACGCCTGCAAAACACACACACACAGGTGAATAGGCACATGGGTAAAATGTACTGTAGGACAAAATTATATTATTATTACAAACTACACATGAGAAATTATTAGATTTCATTCTTTTTTCAGTTTTTTTTAGCAACAACAAGATGTTATTAATTCATAATATATTTTAGTTATTTATAGAAAATTTTGACATCACTGGTAATTTTTCAAGAGGCATTCTGGATATTCATCATTCTAGAACTTCATTCTGTATCTTCGTTTTATTAGAACTTCATTCTGGATGTTAATTTTATTAAAATTTCATTTTGCATGTTTATTTTATCAGAACTTCATTCTGGATACTAATTTTATCAGAACTTCATTCTGGATGTTAATTTTATCAGAACTCATTCTGGAACTATTTTATCAGAACTTCATTCTGGATATTAATTTTTATCAGAACTTCATTCTGGATGTTAATTTTATCAGAACTTCATTCTGGATACTAATTTTACCAGAACTTCATTCTGGATATTAATTTTATCAGAACTTCATTCTGGATGTTAATTTTATCAGAACTTCATTCTGGATACTAATTTTACCAGAACTTCATTCTGGATATTAATTTTATCAGAACTTCATTCTGGATGTTAATTTTATCAGAACTTCATTCTGGATACTAATTTTATCAGAACTTCATTCTGGATACTAATTTTACCAGAACTTCATTCTGGATATTAATTTTATCAGAACTTCATTCTGGATGTTAATTTTATCAGAACTTCATTCTGGATACTAATTTACCAGAACTTCATTCTGGATATTAATTTTATCAGAACTTCATTCTGGATGTTAATTTTATCAGAACTTCATTCTGGACCTTAATTTATTAGAACTTTATTCTGGACGTCAATTTTATTAGAACTTCATTCTGGATGTTAATTTATTAGAACTTCATTCTGACCGTTAATTTTATTAGAACTTCATTCTGGATGTTAATTTATTAGAACTTTATTCTGGATGTTCTACAGTGTTTCTCTGTCATTTTTAGAATCATCTAACATTTCTTCATTTTTTTACAGTTTTGTATTAATTAGTTAAAAACTGAAGCTGTACAGCACCAGCGTCATATTTCAATCATTTTACACATTTATTCTCCACAATAAAGCTTTATATTATCGTAAACAGTGATTTTAATTAGTCCAATTCAGACTCAAACACACCGTAAGGTCAGTGAGGTGTTACCTTTCTGTTTGGTGACTCTCCTGACCGTCAGGGCCGCCTGCCTCTTCTGATACTCTGAGATTTCAAACCCTGAATCAACATAAAACCAGCGTTAACACACAAAGCATTCAGCACCATCCCAGCTTTCCAAAGGAAACTATTACAGAGAAGTTTATACGAATTTTCCGAAATTCAGCTCCTGAAAAAATCCTAAGATGTTCTCAGTTACTGTCTTTTTGTAGTGGTGATCATTTTGCATATAGATATATTTTAGCAGAAGCACCAGGGGTCTCATGTAATCAGCCGTGTGTACGCACAGAACATCATTTACCATTTTTTCTTGCACATGAAAATGTGCGTATATTTAGAACTGCTCCTGAATGTGTGTATGCAGAACCCCCCTAGTGGCAGAAAAGAGTAACTGCCAGTAAACTGACATACGAGACGCATAAACTCCCATTAATGATCAGCTATTGCTGCATAACTGATGGAATGATTGCCGACTATTGTCTTCATACACTGTACAAATACCTAATGTGTGTAAATAATCAATGTGTGTAAAAAGCAGTAAAAGAAATACTTCCATTTAAACAAAGCAGCCAAAAAATACTCCAGATGAACAAGAGCAACACTAATCTATTAATCCAAGGCTCTGTTCACATTACAAGCCTCATCACTCAATTCTGATTCTTTGCTCCAATCTGTTCTTTCTAAAGCCGGGGTTACACTACACGACTTCTACCCAGATTTTAGCCCCGATTCTCAGGCCGAGTCTGAGCTGGTCGGCTCTAGTCTGCAGATTTTTGTGTCATTCGGAGTCGACAGTTGGAGAGAGAGTCGAGTTGTGTTTGAGGGGGGCAGACTCAGAATTTTAGGCCTCCTGATTGCGTTTCAGACCAGTCAGAGTTTATCAAACGTTTCCCCAATATTTCAGTCACCCAAAAAATCTGCAGAAACCAGTCTGATAGCTGTGATGCCTAGTCTTCTGTAATCTGTTCAGACTTTAAAACTCTTGGCTTAAGGCTTAAGAAGACGGTTCACATTTGGGCAGGAAAGTGACACAAATGATACGACGCACATCCTAATCAAAAAGGTCATGTGAATGAACCGCTGCTGCTCAGGAAATCAGGCGTTTTTCTCGGGTGTCTCATCGTCAGACTTTCCAAACTTTTGTTCCCGGAAAGTTCCCACAGTGCAGAGTAAAAACTGCGAGCGTCGACTGTTCAATACGCTCCCTGACTGAACACAGCGCAACGTCTCTGGCACGACTTTCGAAAAGTTTTAAATAGAGGACAAAAGCCGTATGTTATCTCACCTGCCTCTCCACCTGGAAAAAAGCTTTGAATAAAGAAGTAAGCCATGAGAAGCTGTGCATGATTTTATCACGGGGCAGGGTGTTGTTAGGCACGACGTGAAGCGGAGTGAAACCCTCTTGCCCATGATAAAATCACAATGCACAGCCTCAAGTTCAGCGCCTAACTCATCGCTCCGACGCAGGGGCATCCCGGCTTGTTCGAAGCTCCATATACTGAGGAGCATGTTGCACCTTGTTTCGTTCAGATTGCTTCATCCCAGCGAGAGTTATTACAGAATATTTGGGGCCTTTTTCGAGTGAATCTCCCTGTATTAACACTGCCTTTTGTTTGTGGAATACACTAAAAATCAGACAAACAAAATCAGACTTGTGCCACTTCAGGCTGATAACGTGAACGTAGCCCGAACTCTGTAGCTGTAATAGTAATAACAGTACACAGCACCGAGAACCAAAAAGAACGAACATGAACGATGTCCAGTTCCTCACCGATCTTTTCGTCCTCCTGCACCATCTTGCGCTCTTCGTGAAACGCTCGCAGCCAGCGGATCTTCTCCTCCAGCTTCTTGGCGATAAATATGTGGATCTCGTCCGAGTCCTTGTTCCTCAGTTTGAAAGCGTTTTTCACGCTGACGTTAAAATCGTCGTCTCGGCCGTCGATCGCGTCCACGACCTCGTAGCGGTCCATGTCGATCCGGCCTTTGTAGTACAGACTGTCGCGCCGGATCAGGTCCTGATGAAAGAGGAGCAGATTTGTTAACGATGTCAAATATATAAAATGCTTTGAATGCAATTTTTCATTTCCTCAAGATTGTCCTGAACATCCAACACAAGTAAATATTGATCCCTTTTACAGAATATTGGAAACGCTTTATCAGAATGAGTGAAAAAAAAATTAATTTGTTAGCTAATTGCTAACTGATTCTCCATAGCGGCGCTGATGCTTCAACGGCGGCAGAAATTTTGGTTTAATGTTTGTTCTCCTGTAAAGTCCCTGTTCTAGTGCGGTTCTGCGCTCTTCCTCACAGTAACTGAGATCTTCCTCGTCTCCTCTTCTGTCTTCAGTGTGAGAAATGAGGAACAGTCACTCTTCACTCCAAACTCTTGGGAAACTGGGCGAGTTTTCAGGTTTACAGATCTGCTGCAGCTCATTGTAAAGTGTTTCAGAGGAATCCGGGCAGAGTTACAGTTTCTGTACTATGAAGGACCAACTGGGTGAACCAGTCTGCTACAGCGCCACCCTGAGGCAGAGCAGTGCTGCAGCTCTAGCTAGTTAAGAACACCAAAGACAGAAGCTGATTGTGAAGTACACTTTTAAAGATGGTTCCTCAAGGGTTCTTCCATAAAGAAAATGTGTCTGTATAGATTCATGAACACTCAAAGAACCATTTGCATGATTAAACAGTTCTTTCCATCGTGTAAAGTGTTCTTCATATTGATGGAGAATGTGTTGTATATTGTTCTAAATAGCAACAAAAAGGGTTCTGCTATTGTTATGTCAAGGTTGCAACAATTAAAGAACCCTTTTTGGTGCTATACAGAACCCTTTTCAAAAAGGTGGTATGTAGAATCATCACAGTAAAAAAAAAAAAGATGGTTCTTAAAGTGTTCTAGAGTAAACAAAATGGGTTCTATATAAAATGGTTCTATATTCAAAGAAGGCTTTGCATGATTGAAGGTTTCTTTGCATTATGTTCTTCAGACTGATGGAAAATGTGATGTAGATGGCTCTATATAGAACCTTTTTCAAAAAAGGTTCCAAAAGAGTTCTCCTATTGTTACAAGGTTGACATCGTAACTATAGCAGAACTCAAAAAGGGTTCTTCTATTGTTACGATGTCAAGCTTGTAATAATAGAAGAACTTTTGGGTGCTATGTAGAACCATTTTCAAAAAGGTTCCATATAGAGCCATCAAGAGAATGTGCTCACAATGCAAAGAACCCTTTAATCATGCAAAGGGTTCTTTGAGTGTTCATGGTTCTATAGAGAACCTTGCTTTTTACTAAAGAGTGTAGAACCATCTACAGCACATTCTTCATCAATCTGAAAAACTTTTTCACATACAAAGAACCTTTTAATCATGCAAAGGGTTCTTTGCGTATTCATGGTTCTATACTGAGCTATTTTCTTTTCTAAAGAACCCTCTTTTTTAAGAGTATAAGATAAATAATGAGCTTGAATTTGTATTGGAGCATCTATATTTCCCCTAACTACCCACCAGAATTTTCATTTTGAGACATTCAGGGGGTCCAAAAGATTATTTAGGACATCCTGGACCACCAGGACCCCCTGTATTTGGAAGCTTGTACACATATTTTGCAGAAAATGGACAGGATTTATAAACTGACCGCCTCGTTACATTGATGCTGATCAATATTTTTCTGGAGGGCAATTAAACTCAAAATACTTATAAATGTTTCTAATTAGGTCAAACAACTCAAAATGTTTAATAAACAGTTATAAAACATTAATAAAGAGGCCAAAAGCGACCTGTTAATATCTAATGAATATAAATATGTGATGAGGCTGGCAGGGTCACTGCTGACTGATGGAGAAAAACAAGATCAACAAAATCTTACTGTGGGTTCAGTTTTAGGCAAGCAACTGTCACTGTCCCCCCTATGCTTATTAATGATTTCAACCTGTTTATGTCCTAATTAATAACCATTAATGAAGTAAGTTTAATCCATTTATAAGGTAGTTCTGTTCTAAGTACATTAAAATGACCGCAGAATGACGCACGACCTCAGGACTGTGTGTTTCTTGTTCATCTGTCCACTCGGACTCTTTATAGTCCATAGAGACACACAGGATCTCCTCTCCTTTCAGCTTCGCTCTATAAGGACAAAGTCGTCCAGCAGCTTCTCTGTTTTTATTATTCATGATGAGTCAAAGTGCAGCGTCTCAGTCCGTCCATCTGAACTCAGTCACTCCTCTTATCTTTCTCCCTCACTCTCACTCTCTCTTTCTCTCTACTTTTCACATCTCTTTCCCTCTCCACCATCTTTTATGTTCTCTCTCTCTCCTGTCCTTATTTCTATTCCCCATGTCTCTCTCTTCTCTCTTCTCTCTTGCTCCCTCTTTTTTGTCCTACATTACCCCTTCCTCCTCTCTCCTGTTTACACTGCCGTAGACATTTTTCTTTTTCGTTTATTGATTTTCTTTCTTTCTTGCTCTTACTCTCTCTCCTTTTATTGTTTTTGTCTACCTCCTTTATCTTTTTGTCTTCCTTTACTGTTTGTACTCCTTTCTTCTTTTCTTCTCTCTCACCTTCTTACAGATGACCATTTGGTGGTCAAACAGGAAGAAGACTCTGGTTTGGCTGCGGCCGTAGGGCTGATAGATCCAGGACAATTCTCCAGTGTAGACCAGCTCAGAGCTTCTGTCCAGAACGTCCTCACCCTGAACACACACACACACACCACACACACCACACACACATACACACACACCACATACACACACACCACACACACACCACATACACACACACAAAACATACACACACACACACACACACACACACACACACACACACACCACACACACCACATACACACACACCACATACACACACACAAAACATACACACACACACACACACACCACACACACACACACACACCACACACACCACATACACACACACACACACACACACACAAAACATACACACACACACACACACACACACACACACACACACACACACCACATACACACACACACAGAGGTGAAGAAAAGTGAAACGCTGCCAAGAACATTACAACCCAGATTTGACCCTCCAAACGTACAACCCATATCTGAACTCCAGAATGGGACGACCCAGAAATGAACCCAGTAATTGTACAGTCCAGAAATGAACCCAGTAATGGTAAGGCCCAGAAATGAACAAGTAATGGTATGGCCCAGTAATGGTATGACCCAGAAATAATAATGGTATGGCGCATAAATTAGCCCAATAATAGTACGGCCCATAAATTAGTCCAATAATGGTACAGCCCATAAATTAACCCAATAATGGTACGGCCCATAAATTAGCCCAATAATGGTACGGCCCATAAATTAGCCCAATAATGGTACGGCCCATAAATTAGTCCAATAATGGTACAGCCCATAATTTAACTCAATAATGATATGGCCCATAATTTAACCCAATAATGGTACGGCCCATAAATGAACCCAATAATGATATGGCCCATAATTTAACCCAATAATGGTACGGCCCATAAATTTGCATTTTTTGTGAACATTTCCTTCATGGTAGAATCGTATTTCTTTAGCTTATGAAATTCTGAATACAGGCAAATTGTGATCTTTCTATATTTTATGATTTTTTAAGATTTAAGTAAACAAATAAACACAAGCTGTAATAGCTAGACAACATCTGACTGGCTGAACACACCTCCCAGTCCAGAACGGAGGCCTGCCATTGGGCGATTTTGTCAATGTTCTCGAGTCTCCGTTTCCGCTCGTTAATTTGCTGAGTTACGTTTCGCATCACAGCCAACGCAGCAGCAACGTACCGGTAATCACTGAGAGAGAGAGAGAGAGAGAGAGGGAGAGGGAGAGAGAGAGAGAGAGAGAGAGAGGGGGAGAGAGAGAGAGAGAGAGAGAGAGTAGTTGTGAAAATCTACTCAGTGAACAGAAAAATCACTCAAATATCCAGCGATTCTCCTGTCGACACTCGGTTTTGCACATGAACAAATCATTTACAGTCACTGATCTCAGCAGTAAAAGTGTTTCGGTTGATAAAAACACTAAATTTCATTACAATAAACACAAACAAACGTAAATACAGTAAAAACAACAACTTCTGTTTTAAAAAAGGATCTAGAAAACAGAACCCTGGTTTGGTTCCTGACTCCTGCTCTCTGTACTGTAAGCAGCTCTCTGTACTGTAACTGTACCTGCGCTCCTGTACAGTGTGTTTAAGCAGCTCTCTGTACTGTAACTGTACCTGCGCTCCTGTACAGTGTGTTTAAGCGGCTCTCTGTACTGTAACTGTACCTGCGCTCCTGTACAGTGTGTTTAAGCGGCTCTCTGTACTGTAACTGTACCTGCGCTCCTGTACAGTGTATTTAAGCGGCTCTCTGTACTGTAACTGTACCTGCGCTCCTGTACAGTGTATTTAAGCGGCTCTCTGTACTGTAAGCAGCTCTCTGTACTGTAACTGTACCTGCGCTCCTGTACAGTGTGTTTAAGCAGCTCTCTGTACTGTAACTGTACCTGCGCTCCTGTACAGTGTGTTTAAGCAGCTCTCTGTACTGTAAGCAGCTCTCTGTACTGTAACTGTACCTGCGCTCCTGTACAGTGTGTTTAAGCGGCTCTCTGTACTGTAACTGTACCTGCGCTCCTGTACAGTGTGTTTAAGCAGCTCTCTGTACTGTAACTGCACCTGCGCTCCTGTACAGTGTGTTTAAGCAGCTCTCTGTACTGTAACTGTACCTGCGCTCCTGTACAGTGTGTTTAAGCAGCTCTCTGTACTGTAAGCAGCTCTCTGTACTGTAACTGTACCTGCGCTCCTGTACAGTGTGTTTAAGCGGCTCTCTGTACTGTAACTGTACCTGCGCTCCTGTACAGTGTGTTTAAGCGGCTCTCTGTACTGTAACTGTACCTGCGCTCCTGTACAGTGTGTTTAAGCAGCTCTCTGTACTGTAACTGTACCTGCGCTCCTGTACAGTGTGTTTAAGCGGCTCTCTGTACTGTAACTGTACCTGTGCTCCTGTACAGTGTATTTAAGCAGCTCTGCCAGCTGCAGCGGATATTTGCAGATTTTCTGCACTGGAGTGAGGAGGAAGCCGTCGATGGCGATGTCAATCATCTGCTGGACCAATCGGCACGCTTCGAAAAAGTGCTGGTACCGCCCATCCCGCATCAGGCGTGTCAGCTCCATGCACGCGTCGACGTGATTATTACAGTACTCAGAGTAGATCCAGAACCCATCTTGCTGTTAGAACACACAAAAAAAAGGTTATTACAGAGCTGATCAATACCCAGGATCGATCGATCAGTGAGCAGAGACGTGGGAAGGTGTTTTAAGTTGGGAGCACTGAAATTACATTAAATTAAAATAAATTAAATGTTATTTTATTTTTATTTTATGTTAATTCTGATACTATTTTTATGTATTTGTTTATTACCTTTTATAATCCTTTTACTGACCGTTTAAAATTTTACTTCTCAGAGTTCTCCCTCCTCCCTCAATCAGTCTTCGCTCATACTACCACCACCATGTTGAAGGCCGCAGTTAAATACAGTCACTGTAACTCACCGTCATTCGCAGCCTTTCAGCTCTCATATACTGTCTTTGACCTCCACATTTTTTAGTTAGCGTTTGCTTTTCTGTAAGCTTTTGTGCTACAAGAGTTCCGCCACCATCCTGATGCACATATGTTTGGGCTGTAACCATGACAACGGCATTAATGTGTGTTCATTTTCAAAACTCTTTTTTTAATCTGTAAACATCAGACTGTGTAAAGACCTTTCAGTCCTGTGGTCAAAAGTCAAACGGTCTGTATTTCCATCTAGTGTTTGAACGAGGAACTGCAGGGTCCTGTGACCAAGAGGCCTCATGCAAGACTGGAGCAATCCTTAAATACAGCTCACGTTTTACTTCACGAGCCACGTTTACACGCAGCCTAATCCGTTCATAATCCGACTAATAGCTCAATCGGAATACAATACATCCATGTGGACACCTCATTGGAATAGACTAGTCCAATTGAGGCCATTCAGAATACAGTGTCTATCCGATTGAACGAGGTGGGTGATCCTGTAAATAATCCGTTAAATAGAAGAATAATATCTGTGTAAACGCCTGTATCTGATTACATTCCCTATCGGAAAGTTTAAGTCCGTTCTGATCATGTTCGTCGAGTCATAGTGAAAGTTTATACCGTTCAACATGGCGGAGCAGAAACTGGTCTGCAGAGGAGACGAAGTTTATGCTCTGATCTTTAAAAGACGGCGGTGGGACGGACGTCCAGCTTATGTGTCTCAGAACACGACGACTTCCTCTCGGCCTTCTTTAATAAGGACATGTGAAGGACGTTTTCCTGAGTCTGACATCATTTTAAAGTGATTAAAAACACAAGCACTGCTCACTGCTGCTCATCTCACTCTGACTGGACTCACGTGATGCTGGTTGTCATGGTAACATCTACACTAAGTGGATCTGTACATATGCACTTAATTTTGGATCTGATTACTTGTCGTGTGAAAGTAAACGGAAATTTTCATCAGATTGTTGAGTAGAGTGAGATACAAACAGCTCAGTCTGAATCTATAATCGGAATGTATTCAGTCAGATTGGAGAAAACCTTTGCATGTGAACTCAGACAGTGACCAGCTTTCAGGATCAGCTAAAGACACCAAATAGGTCTCGGCTGATCGACTAGGTTCAAGATAAGAGAACAGTACTAACGTGTTCCAGAAAGCAGGGTCCGATCTCGCTGAGATGAGGTTCCTCGGTGTTGAACTGTTTCTCCAGATCTCTGACGAATCCCAGCTGGAATCTGTAAATATCCTCGATATTCCCAAATATCACTTTCAGCTGATCGTCGTTAAACAAGTCTCTTCTCTTTTTGCACTGCTTCAGATAACCCTACACACACACACACACACACACACACACACACACACACACACACTTTCAAATGCATGTCAATCATTTTATTTTCTACACATATTTTCCATATATTTTTTAATAAAAGCTTAAATGTTGCACACTGACAAAGTATAAACAATAAAACTTAATACATAATAAACCTATTGATACGTTATCATAACGTCATACTAGATATTAATTTCATTTTTGTTATTATTTTATTATAACATCAATTTTATTAGAATTTCATTCACAATATTTTTTCAATGTAGATTTTATTTTATCACACATTCATTTTGGATATTCATTTATTGGAATTTAATTTACAACATTGTCTTTATTATTTACTTCAATCACGTTATTAATTTATTAGTACTTCATTCTGGATATTAATCTATTAGAACTTTAAATTGCATATTCATTTTGCTTCATTCACAATTTTATTTTGACTTCAACCTGGATATTAATTTAATTAGTACTTCTTTAATTAGAGCTATTTATAATATTTTTATTATAACTTATTACTTATTAATTTTTTCATTGTAATTTCTCAATTGAGATTAATTTTTAGTACTTTATTCTCAATATTAATTTATTAGAACTTTAAACTGGATATTAATTGTTAGAGCTTCATTCACAATTTTATTTTATTTTATTACAACTTCGTGTTATTACTTTTTTATCATTTATTATAATTTCTCAATCAAGATATTACATTTATTAGCACGTTTATTCTCGACACTAAATATTAGAACTTTAAACTGGATATTCATTTTGTTAGAGCTTCATTCACAAATGTATTTTTATTATAACATTTTATTAGTTATTAACTTTTTATTCATAATTTCTGAATCAAGATTTTCATTTATTAGTACTTTACTCTGGATATCAATTTATTAGAACTTTAAACTGGATATTAATTTTTGTTAAAGTTTTATTTACAATTTTATTTTCTTATAACTTTAATCTGGATATAATATAATTAAGATCCAGAGCTCCTTCTGGATCTTAATTTATTTGTAACAAAAATTTACAATTTTATTTTTTATTTTAACTTTTTATTAGTTATTAACTTCTCAACCATGATATTAATTTATTTGTATTATTACTTTATTCTGGACATTAATTTTTTCACTCTGGATCTTATTTGAATGGAACTAATTTAACAGTATTATTTTTATTATAATTTTATTAGTTATTAACTTTTTATTATTTATTTTAATTTCTCTACTGAGATATTAATTTATTAGTATTTTATTCTGGGTATTAATTTCATTAAAACTTCAGTATGAATGTTTTGTCATAGCACTCTGATATTCATTTTATTAGATCATCTTTCCAGATGTTAATTTTGTTACAGCTTCATTCTTGATGTTTTATTTCTGATGGAACGCTGATTAAACTATGTTGTCCACTCCTAAACTCTGGTTACCTCACAGATGTCCTTCAGGTGTTTGATGTAGTGTCTCTCTGTGCTCATTATTTCATTGATGACGTTCGCCCTCATCTGGTCTCTGTTCTGAGCGGGCTGGCCGAGGCAGAGGCAGTCCGTGCTGGGGTTTGGACTGGCCTCGGCGTGACCATTCTGCACCTCGCTACTGCCCTCTGCTGGCTCCACCGCTACACTGTCCTCCTGATTCGCCCACAGCTGGAACACAAACACAAGCTTTTTTGAGTTTAAAAAAGAGAAAATGACCCGATCACCGATTTACGTTCAAGTCATGTGGCAAAAAACACATGAGAACACTAAATAAATCAAATAAAAGCACCACCTAGTGCCTGAAGTGGTACTGCACTTTACCACAAGGGCAGCATTTGGCTTAATTCACAGTTTAAACAGTGCTAAAAAGAGATGTAAAGCGATAAACTCTCAAAAACTCTCAAAAATTAAGGTTGTGCATAAACTTTGCTTTATTAATTGTGATTTATGCAAGTTCCTCCATTTGCACACAAAAGCTACTTGGCATTAATTTTGGTGTGGTTCTGCCAAGTAGGAGGGTGGAGCCATTACTCATCATCTCAAAACAGTGGCCCGACACATTAGCATCACCCAACTAGCAGCAAATGAAAGCTGAACATCTTCGCTTTAAAAAAAAGACACTTTTAATATTGGATAATATTTCCTAAAATTACTGTATTCATGGCTACATCCATGTTGTGCACTTGTGCCAACCTGACCCCATGTGGTGTGATGGTGTGTACAACAAAAACACTTGACAAAACACAGGACGGCACATCTCAGCATCAAGCACATTAATGAAGAGATAAACAGCAACCGAGCCCCGTTCAAAAACACAATCAGAGCAGCTTTATTTGTATTATTTTAGTATTTATACAAATAATACTGAATAAACACACAAATATAAGCAACACTACATCTCCTAAAACAAGATCATGGAAGACTATTAAAAAAACACCACTATGTAAATGCTATATTTCACCTATGGGATTTTAGTGTTGTGTTAGCGTCAAGCTAACCATTTCACATGTACATTTTTTGAGCGTCTAGATTAAACACAGACATTTGAAGATTGTAAAAGACATCGTGTGTTTGGCCTTACCTGTTAGATTAACTACATACTTAGAAAAGATGGTTCTTTAAGGGATCTTTAGTAATGAAAATGGTTCTATATAGGACTTTTTTTTTAAATGGGCTCTATATAGCACAAAAAGGGTTCTTCTATTGTCCCAAGCTTGACATTGTAACTATGTATGTGGTGGACCATTTTCAAAAAAGTTCGATATAGAACCATATACAACTCCATCAACTCCGTCAATCTGAAGAAAGCACTATGCAAAGTGTTCATGGTTCTACATCAATGAAACGTGGTGGCTAATCCCACATGAGGACCAAACCAGCCATCCCCGCATTAGAAACCCAGAGAGCTATGGGAAAAGCCACCAACCAGGGAGGGGGATGTGCTTGAGTGCAAAGCAGTAGAGACTCGAGAACGCAGAAAAAAAAGAGGAACGCGAAGGTGCACCGAGGGAGACTCAAACTTAGAACCTCACGACGCAGGGGTGAGTGAGTTACTGCTAAGCTACCACCGAGGAGAGCCTGAAAGGGTTGATACACAAAAGGGTGAAGGCGGACAAAGGAAATGCCAGAGCAGGGTCTTCAAACACTTCAAATACATACGCTAAAAGATAACTGGAGAAAACAGCACTCGAGACTCGAGAGAGGAACTAATACCAGAGTTACTGGCTTAGCCAGAGAGACGTGCACATGGCAGCATGAAACCAAGACTGAGCAGTGCGCTGTGGAAGAGCTCTCCTTAAGCAGAGCATCCACAGCTGCACCCATTCAGCCCTAATCAGCTCATCCTGGTTCTCTGACTCCTCCTAGTGGTTGGAGGTGGCCTAACAGAGGGCCGTGATGTTACAATAGAACTATTTTCTTTACTAAAGAACCCTTGAAAAACTCTCTTTTTTAAGAGTGTATGAGAACTGACTGTACACTTACTGTGTAATACCTCCCAGACCTTCACATGCACGTCATTATAAAACAATGTTATACAACAGATCTCTAAGTAGTCAATGTTTCAGCTCATCAGTGTATGTTAAATGTCTTTTACAAGTTTCAAATGTCCATGTTTAGTCTAGAACACCCAAAAAAATGTTCTTGTGGTTTGCTTGGCACTAACATACTACTATCAATCAATAAATCTTTATTTAAACTCGACCTTAATGGAGAGCTACTGTACTGCTTATGAATATGCCATGAATGTGTCATGTACATGTAGTTCTTGTAAAGCATTACCCACAGCTCGTGTGAACACCTGATAAAATGTTTAGTTGCTTTTCTCATGGAAAGTGAGTGAACACATCCCGTACAGAAAACACACTGAAATTTCACATTTTTCTGCAGATTTTTGTGCAAAATTTCTATTTTTTCTGATTTTCTTTTAATTGGAAAACATATCATATCAAATACGCCATTACTTTTACACAGGCCACATATTGTGTCTTGTTTTTTCCCCAAAATGTGTTAAACTCTGTAAATAAACATTAATTGTGCATTAAAACATGCAGAACTATGTTCTCTTACAGCAGCTCAGCCAGCAGATTACAGAAGCTGAACTATCCGCATTATGAAATATATTCTTCTCTGTGCAAAGACGTTCATAACAAACCACGTCCTGATAAACGTGACAGGCAGCATTGAGGCAGAAGATCCCAAAGCAGGGAAAACTGAGAAACTGCAGTGTTTCAGGAGAAAAATAGAGGATGAGTCAAACCAAGCGAGTTAAAAAAAAAAGAAGAAAGAAAGAAAACAATTCTCCCTCATTCCTCCACTACGCTCCGATATTCCCACCGGCGCAATTCTGCTTCGTTTCCAAAAAGAAAAAAGCAATAAACAGCGCAGGATGAGAGGCGATAAATAAACAGCAGATTTAAACACCAATACTCACACTGAATTCCACACACTCAGCACTGTCGACCCCCGATACCCCCCTCACCAGTCGTCCGGATAAAGACGGAAAATAGACACATTCATCTTCCTGCATGTGTGCGAGTTCATGTTTCTGCTGTTCAGCTGTTTCTGTCTGTCTTTGTTTCATTTTACTATTGTTATTTTTTTTTACTGCATTTTTGAACCTTTAAAGACGGTCTGCACTTCAGCTCCTCACTCATTACTGCACAACACTTCTACTACTTAACTATTCTGAGTAGTTATTTATTATTTATAGTAGATAATGAATGTTAACATAGTACATACAAAGTATATGTAGTAGATACTGATATCTAGTAGATACTGAATAATTTATAGTAGATACTAAGTATTATAAATAGATACTGAATACTTACTGTAGTTAGTGATTAATTTATAGTAGATACTGATTACTTTATAGTAGATACTGATTACTTTATGGCAGATACTGAATAGTTTATAGTAGATACTAAGTAATACAAAGTAGATACTGAATATTTATTGTAGTTACTGATTCATTTATAGGAGATACTGAAGAACTTATAGTAAATGCTAAATATTGATCATAGATATTTAAGAATATATAGTAGATACTGAATAGTTTATAGTAGATACTGAATAATTTATAATAAATACTGAATAATTTATAGAAGTTACTGAATAGTTATAGTAGATGATGAATATTTACAGTAGACACCGAAGAACATAGTAAATATTGAATATTTAGAGTACATTTTGAATAATTCATAGCAGTTACTGATTTACAGTCATTACTGATTCATTTGTATTGTATCTTGTATTGAACACTGAATAATTAATAACAGATATTGCATTATTTGTAGTCAATCCTGAATAATTTATTGAGGATCCTGAATAATTCATAGTAGACTCTGCATTATATACAGTAGATACTGAATTACTCATAGTAGTTGCTGAATCATTTGTTGCAGTAATGATATTTATACAAAGCACAGAATAATTCATAATCAATACTGCATTATTTATAGTAAATTGAATAATTAATAGTAGACACTGCATTATTGCAGATGCTGAATATTTTAATCACTGAATAATTTAAAATAGATATTACATTATGTACACTGAGCATTTCATAGTCATTACTGACTAAATAAATAAATTAGTGCGTAACACATTTATAGAAGTTACTAAATTATTAATGGAATATTTCAAATAAAAGTATATAATTCAAAGTAATAGTATTTACTCATTCCACTCATCACCAGTTGCTGAGTAACAACAATGGCCAATTAATACACGTTTTTGGCAGAAGAAACTTCCAACATTAAAAACGTTTATTTAAATGATTGTCCAGGGATTCGTTTCTTTACTTTTTTCTTAATTTTTGTAAATCTGCTCTGTAAAAGCCACAGAACACTGGAGGTGAAGTGTTACAACATGGCAGGAATGATCTACAGTGACCAAACCACAGCTGTGACCTTTTTCACCACCTTTCAATAGAACTGAAAGATTCATTTTTTTTATCAAAATCGCTATTTGAAAGAGTGCACTTTTTAAATCACAGGAGCTGCAATATTGATCATAGAATGCATCAACAAAGTTGTCTTAAGTTTTAAATGAGGAAATTTAACATAATGACACAGAGCTTGTGAGCTGGCTATTGGTAGATGTGTTGGACCAATCAGAAGCAACAAAAACACCCACGTTCTGTATATCATCACTGTCCGATCTCCATTTTTGTCTGTTTTTATTTTTCAACATCATTTTAACACACCAGCTGTTCTTTATGTTGTGTGAAAATTTCATGATGAATGGACCAATAGAAATGCTCTAAAAGCACTTGGAATAAAATCTCTTTACATTAGCCTGCATTAAAAGGTGAGAGAGTTTTTGGTCTCTCCTGTAAAATTACTATTTTGAAGAGACTTTTTTTTCTTTGGACAGTGACGATATGTGACATCACAACCACAAATACTTTGTAGTCTGATGCATTCAAGATTCATGCCAGAAAAAGTATACATTCTGGCCTTCTTGGCCAAAAATTCAGGCATGGAAATTAATTTAGAGAATTTTTTTATGCATTCAAATCGGTCAGAAAAATTCCAATTAGATATTTTCCCAAATTGTTCAGCTATAACCTCCAGTGTTATGGTGTACTTACTGAATAAGACTTAAGATTAATAACTAAATCAGTTAAATTTAATTGTCTAAATGTATTTAAATTACACTATATTGCC